AGATGTAGTTTTAAAGGATATTAAATTGAGGAGAATAGTCGAAGGACTCGAGTAAAAAAGAACAAAGAAAAATTAAGGTACATAAGAACAAGCTGACCGGCTGAGAAAGAATAAGCTATCGGAGGTTTAAAGGCTTAATAGTTATAGTACATTCAACAAAATGATACTTTTTCATTGGTCGAGAGGAGTACACAATTACACCGTCAATTATGTCTCCTTGATAAAATTTCACGAAATTTGGTTTCACTGAATGTACTATAGACAAAAATCGCACAACTTCTCGTACAATTTAAAATTAATAGTCACTCGTAATGCCTTGAACGTTTTCAATTTGCAATTACGAAACGTTTCAAAACATTTGCTCGTGACTGTTAATTCCAAATTGTACACAAAGTAAGGGGACCGTAACAAGACAAAAAGAAACAAAAAAACTTTTCTCTCTTTTTGCTTACAAATCCTTTAAAAGTTTATATTTTACCTATTAACATGTCTCTTCGTCAAAACAAATCAAAATAATAAGCGTTTTAGCGATTTCCTGCTACAAATTGATCCCCACTAAATCACCAAACATCAAATCGTGTATTAGTTGTCTAAAGCTGAAGAGCATCGTATGTCCAAGGTCAAAAATAGTAGATATAGCAATATTAATTACTCAGCTTTTACATAAAACATGGTCCGAATTTTATACTTTAAACTGTTTTCTTAAATTACTTTAAACTTTGTACTTTAAGTCGTACCTTGCATAATTGAATTGTACTTTGTACATTTACGATAATCTTYGAACATTTCAATTTAGGAAAACGTTACTTAAATCTCACTCCTTGAGTCAGTAGAATATTATATCTAGCTGTAGATCGATTCCCCAGGAAATATTATATTTGCTATCATYGTTAATATTTTGTGTATAAATTATTTATTGTTTCTTTACATCTAATTATTGTTTTTAAAGTCCAGAATACATAATAAAATTGGTTGTCCAAACAACCGTATGATTCACGAGGAATATCGACAGTGATCGATATGTTTTAAACATATTGAGTTATAATAACAACTAGGTTCARATGGAAGACATGGCCAATAGGATTCTCAAACTATAAAGAAATACAATCAAAACAAGATAAACTGACCTGTAATTGCTTTACCAAAGTGACCACACGACCAGGCTGTAAAAACGAAAGTCATGCATCAGTAACCACTGATGTCAACAAAACATTTCTCACTGTATTTTATCGAAATTTTACCTTATTTTCATCGCCACGATGCCATTTACTACTTTGCCAAAACCTTCTAGCAAAACCTTTAATAAAACCAACGTGGCTTTCTTCGTATACGAAATCAGGATTCCAAGTTAGCGATCCATAGCCGAAAACCCATATTTCATCGGAATTATTCACCGAAGGATCGTCGATTTTCGATGTTTTTTTGTCTAGCATTGTAASTTAGATTTAACATCAATTTCAACTTGATGATAAAAACAATTTTGTGTAACCTCGTTGTTAAAATGTGGGAGTTTTAGAATATTCTATTCGAGAATTGCTCTTTGTTTATATCAGAGAAAAGTGGCTTTCCAGATAGGTGTCACGCAATCGTGTGATTATTTCCACCAATCACAGCTCGCGATTTTATAAAGCGGGATTTCCATTGGTAGTTTTGCTGATCTGATGCAAGAAGAGMARAACTTTCGTTACAAGTACCGTCAGTACCTACTAGGATCAAGGAAATACGTCATACAAAACGGCCTACGCACGTGTMTACAACATTTATTTGTAGGCGATGCTTCCGGTATCGTCACACAGAGCGAATTAGAATAAATTAACAACAACAACAACAAAAAGAAAGATATAAAGTAAAATGAGTAGTAGTAAAAAAAAAAGGTACGAAAATAATTTTCGCTTCGCGTCGTGGTTTCCTACGCTTCTCTCGTGTTCTCCCCACATCCCGCGTGTTTTTATCAGAGTATAAAATACACGGAAAACTGTTTTTTATTCCTTAAATTATTATTATGATTATTAGCATTGTAATTATCGTAAAATCTAACTAATTTGTTAGAAGAAGAAGAAGAAGAGGAAGAAACATAGAAAAAACAAACAAATTCAAAAGCAATATAATAAATTTCTCGACTTTTAAAAATATTTCGCTTGCGTTGCTTTTGATTTAATTATCAGTATCTTAAACTTACCATCAGCTTCATCAGCATCAGAGTGAGGTCGTTGAGCGAATGATGTAAGGTGTTTCGATCGTATAAAATTGATAAATTAATTTGCCAAACAGCGAATGTACATCATTTTGCTCAAACAACTCGAAATTTTAGGTTAAGATTTTATTGAAACTTCGTCWGTATATCAATTATGTTATTAAAAARTGATTCTGAAAATTTTATTACAATCTCTGCGATGAGTTTCGAGAAAATTAACTTTGAAGAAAAATGAAGTTGTTTTTATTTTGCATCGTTTATCYAAATGSCTTYGCTTTTTGGCAAATTAATTTATCAACAAGAATTATCGATAATCACTGTTACTTCTGTGAAAATTTGAGTGCAATGGAATCGAAATTTGCGACGTAATTGGAGTTTAAAAATACGCGCGAAACGCTATTTATTACGATCGAAACACCTTAAGAGTGGTTCATGAAATAGTGGAAAAACTAAACTTTTGAATTTTTGTCCTGACTCCTTTAATTGAAAAAGCTGAAACTGTAATATAATTTCCTCAATTATAGCCTTTCATTGGAACCATAGCTAAAAGAGGGGCCGGGAAAGGTTTGGAAACCCAGGCGAATAGCGCGGACTTTTGATAGGACGCACATGTCAGGGACCGTGTCACGCGCTTTGGATCTGGGGGTCTAGCGACCGATCGACCGCCAAAGGCGGGAGTATTAAGGGAGTCTGGACCTCCCCCAGGAAATTTTAAAATAATAACTCTTGGAAATGCGATTTCCAGCGTTTTGAGAGACATCGAGAGCATATAAAACGGATCAATTTTATTTGAATTTTTAAGTATTTTTTGTGAAAATTTTAATATTGTCTTGCCACTATACGCACGTGCGTATACGCGTAAAGGAAGATGCGCGCCTGAGAGCATGCTTTTTTCTTACGGGCGATGGAAATGGCGAAAGGAGGCCCATGACACTCTCTATGAGAGTGTCAGATGAAATACTTCAATATYGGTTAAAATGTTTGTTTTTTTCTTTATTAATAGTCAAAAGAATATGCTAAAAGAATAGTTAAACAAAAGATTGTGCTGCACTGCTACGCTTGATTAAAAAAGTCTCAAAAAAACCTACAACACTTTTCCCTCTACTAACTATATGATGGAACTTTTTAAGAATGATCCTAAGCTAGCCTATCACAAAAGCTCAGYACACTTCCCCAACTGTTTTTTTATTATCAGATTATGTTTATACAACAAGACAGCACTTTTACTGAAACTAGATTAAAAACGGACTCATGCTAAGACATTAAATACACATYTTGACAAAGTGTACTCCAGATGGCTCCGATTTACTTGAAACACTTGTCACAGTCAATAACAGCCTTTTCCGATATCCAAAAAGCAATGGACAAAAATGAACGCGCTATAAATTTGATGCAAAAATTATGTAAGCAACATTTACATGATTTTGGACACTTACATAATAATTGCATCACACTCACACTGTTTACTGTAAATTTGATTTACATCACATGTACTTACACATTTTATAAACGATGTAAATTTAAAGGTAATATTATGCAAATTAAAATCCTCGATACTTCCATGACTTTGGACATCAGGGATATTTACAACCTTTGTAATTATTATAGTTTGAATTTACATCATATTTCCATTAAATTAATCCCAACCTTCATTATAAAGGAGCGCGATTTTTTTCCAGTGGATGAGATTTAAACACGTAGTTATTCAGTTGCAATGTTGGATGGAGATCCGCGGTCCTTTGGTGTTTATGACAGCTGCTGATTGTCACTTTTCTTGTTTCTTTTCTCGAAGTTTCAAGCTAGTCCAGTATGTGCCTGATTCCGACAGGAGGAGACGACGGGTCTGTTCTTCTAAATAACTGTTCTTGTACGATTTCAGTTTCCTGGGAAAGGGATTTTGAGCTACATTGACAACMTCACACCCAAATGTGGCGCTCTTTATAGTCTTAAAAATAATTTTGTTCCTAGTATAGCAAAAGTTTTCAAGGTCAAAAAGGGCTTATATGATGTTTTTATGGTCAAAAACTGCTCATATTTTTTTAGTTTACAAATTTTTAGATTACTGGCAAAAAGTCTTAGAAAGTAAAAAAAACTCGCGAGTTTTCAGGGTTTTTTTCTAGTCGGAATTTCTCGCTGGCAACGTTGTGACTTACAGCTGGCTGGGACATAAGAACAGATATATTTCTCCCAGGAACCCGTCGGCTCCTCCTATTCCGAGCGCATTATTATGCATTTACTTGATCTACTTCATGGGCGTATCATTCCGTCCTACTGAAGTGAAGGATCAAATGAATGGCCATGCCCGACGAGAGCTTGGTGTTTTTTTTTGTTTTTTTTTTTGGAATTGCCTGGCTCAGCATTCATAGTATTCATAGCAGTGCCGTCTTAAAGACCAATCCTCGTGATGTATGTTTTTTTTAATCAAAACCCAATTTGTATATGCGGACTTTCCTACTGTGGTTGTTTATGCTTGTCTGTTTTTTGCTTTGAATGAAATTCCGTCAAGCCATTCCCCGAACACTCGATATTCTACGATATTTTACTGAAAACATCTCAGGATAAAACCACTTCTATATATCATTACATTGAATTTTAACCACCTGTCTCGACTAGTCACTTTGCCTATAAGCCAAGATGCAAATACGAAAAGTTTAACATTCGATAATTAAGTTCTATTTCTGCGGTAATGAAACGTTTTGACAACGAAAGGTGTTGAATCTGAATAGCAATGAATACTAGTAAACTATGAAATACAATAAAATAATCCTCAAAAACCAACAGAAAGTATTTCATTTTAATCTGATTTACATATGTACTTGCTCTTCTGTACAATTTATGAATAAAGATTTTGAAAGCACAAAATAAAGATAATTTAATTTTCACACAATATACAATAAATGTGTTAAGTTGACAAATCCTTAAACTAATTTTGATGAAAAAGAGATAGAAGCATACTTAAGTGGGATATATTTCAAATAAATTATATTGTCTGGTACTTAAAGTATAAAAGATTTAAATTAGTTTTTTTCTCTGGAATCAAGCTCTTCTGCRTATTAGATGTGTATAAACGTTGGGGATATAATATACCAAATAACCAAATAATATTCCATAATGAATTTTCTTTAAACAGACATTGAAGGATTTCCTTAATTTGATATTTATTCTATTGTTGTGGAATTAGAATTTTTCAGACACAAAAGTCAAACATTTATAGGAGCTCAAGAAGGCTTTCATTAGACCTTGTCAAAGCTATTTTACTAGATATAAAAGGCCAAGAAAGACAAACGTATAAGTCCCAAAAATAATTGACATTTATAGGGTTAAGACTAAATTCCACTAAGAGTAAATTAAAATAACATCAATGAATATATAAGAATCTCCAGACATTGTTTATGTTTWACAATAATGGATGCTGGTGGACTCATGTTGAGAAATGACAAACGCATTTTTTTCAAATAAATCTCCATGGCCACTCACTGTGGCCAGTGGAGAAGGTAAATTTTAAGTGGATCTGGCAGTGGTAAAGAGTATACTTTGTTTGCTGGAACACATTGTAAGATTGCAGTCCTGGATATATGCTTTAAATCAAAGCGAATCGGTAGCTGCCACACTCGAACAACCCCGTCATTATAGCCAGCAGCAAGATAATTGCATGATTTCGAGAATGCCAAGCAATGGATGATAGCACTTTGGTACATTCCTCCATTGGGGGCTGACACAACTTGCACTTTGCAGTCCAGAATCATTGCTGTGATTAAYGTGTCTGAGTCAAGAAGTAAAATCTTAGCTTCAGATGTTCCAACAGCTAAAAAATTTCCATCAGGGGAATATTGACACGAATAAAGCCGTGATGTTGTTGTTACTCTTTCTTGTTTATAGCAGGTATATAGCTCGTTGTTTATCGAAGAGTGATGTCCGTCATCACAGTGCCATAGTTCAATTCTTCCATCTTGTAAACAACATCCTAGGACTTCACTACGATACCTTGGATCAAACACACACCAACATTTATTCCCGCGACATTTTTTTCTTACCACACACACCTTTTCGAGCGTTTTGCTGTTCAAAACACACAACTGTTCTTGCGAAGTAGAGAACGCAATGAGTGTACCATCTGGGGAAAAATTACAACTTGTCACAAACCCACAAAAATCTGACAAATCTCGAAGAACAACGCTGTTTACTAGGTTCATTGATTTGACACTCCAAACACGAAGTTCGTTCGTTTCTCTTATCGTATGAAAGTCCACACACGCAGCACTAAGTAGAGCAGATGAATCGGGAGCAAACTTACAGATCATAGTCTGCCCGATAAGACCATTGCACTCCGGGTGAAATTTAGCCAGCTTTTCTGACACACCGCTCGGCGATGTCCGATTTCGTTTTAGTTGAGCTACTTCGCCTTTCGAAGCGTTCATAACGAAAGCAATAAGATCTCCGTCAGGTGAAATATCGCATTCTTGTGAATAGTAAGTAATAATTTCTTTCTTGGGTTTACGTTGAGGAACATCAAAAATCCGAAAATGTCCCATTCCCTCGTCAGCTCGTAGATAAGTATTAGGTCCGCAGGGATTTGATGTCGTTAATATTGTACATTCATCGTCTGGAGCAAAAACAACACAACGAATCTCCTCTCCATGCTCTAGTCCTAACTGATACACAATCCTTGCTGAGTTAGAAAAACATCCCTGTGAATTAGAAGGAAATCTAAGATGTCGAAGAGGTCGCGAAGGCAAATTTGACGTCGTCGCCTTGTTCAAGTCCCAAGTGGGCTTCTTTTTCGATGGTTTTGCTGACTTATTGCCCATTTAGTCGATTATATACAAATATGTTAGAATGATCTTACTTTCCTACCAGCAAAAGGTCATTTGTGACGAAAATTTGGAGCTGCAGGCTTGAACAACCCTAAACCCAAACAAACAAGATGGCGTCTGGAATCATGCGCAATGCCGCTGACAAGTCAGGTGTTGTTCCTCTCTTTCATTCATTATTTTATTTTTCATGCAATGTGTCAATTTGTATCTGCAAAATTACTAATCTGCTATTGTCAATTCACTTACATTGTCAATATATTGTTTATMAGTGAAAATGCCAAAAATTTAAATCAAAATAATATCTAACTGCTGCTAAATAATTTTTGAAGGAGGTGTTAAGTGACTTTGTTATGTTGTAACTGTGAAGAAGTCATTTCAAAGATTTTGTGATTCAGGACCATGGTAATACATCAAAATTCAAAAGATGACCAGCGTATGCTGGAAATTTTCTTTTGTTTTAATCAATTTCTACCTATAAAATTCTAAGACACCACCGCGTATTTTATTGCAATTGCTAATATGATAATGAAAAAAAAAAAAAAAAAGAATTAAATAAAAAAATAAAATTATATTTCTGTCAGCCATTGTCCATGGCACACTACCTATATCTAAAATAGTCATTTTTTCATAGAATACACATATATATAAATTTTATTTTTCCTTGAAAACCGAAAGGTCGTATTTTTGTTATGTCATTTGCACTGAGTAMTGACGTACATTCCAGTTTCAAGATGACTTTCTTACAATAGCATATACACACTTTACATGAACAATGCCCCTTTTAATATTTTGGCTACTGTAACTAATGATAATTTAACATCAATCAAATATCTTGAACCAATCGAAATGAAGCCTTCAGCTCAATTCCTCAATGATTGTTTGTTTAACCCAGTTTATYTGTCAGTTTTATCAATGTCTGGATTCATTGTTATCTGGGTTAATCAGGATTACCCAAGGAGATGGGCATCAGGGATTTGGATTGGCTGATTTGGTTCTTTCTTGATAAAGGTGTTTGCATTTTAGATATCCTTAGTAARTTGTGGATTTGCAGATCGTTCTAGACATAATAAAAGTAAAAGGAACTGAGGATTCTAGGATATTTTTCTTGTAGGTTTGAGCAATTTCTCTCAATGGATCCAATTGATTCCTGCTGCATGTCCACTCCTTAAAAGTTAATTTAACCAGGTTTCAGTACTTTTGATGTYGAAATTTCTTGTATAAATATACTTCATTGATATCTTCTTTGATGTTCATTGGCTTTCTTCACATGAGACAAAAATTATATGAACTCAAGATGGCCCTGATAATCTTTAAACAAAAATGTTATTTATATATAATCTATTCTTGATGATCAGTTCTCTCGGGTTCAGTTTTAGTGTGAGTTCGATTCTCTAGACTTGTTAAAAGTGAATTTTTCCATCTGTCTTCAGGGACAACTTTTGCCCATTCTGGTATCGATGATGATGGCAGAGATATATTTGTCATAACTTGTTGAATCAATTTTATTTGATCTGTTGAGAGAAAGATGTTATTTAGTTGCAGTGCATAATTTATATAACCTAGCCAAATCCAATATAGCAATCTCAAAATAGGTTGCCAGAAAAAACATTACAGCAATTATCATTGTTGAATACAATAGTCACAGTGTGGAAAAAAGGAGTTATCTTAACTACTCAACTAAATGATGTTTGTTGTTTCATCAAGCACATTATCCATGAAATATACATTTTTCATGATGTCATTCAATTTAAGCAAAGCTGTATGCCATTTGCCAATTGCCATTCTCTCTGTTAACTATTTTTGATATAGGTCCATATACATGGTAAAGGTGCAACAGGTTGATGATATGGACAACTTCTGAGATACACTGGCACCATATACACAGCCTGCATGACTGTGCACCTGTTAGGCTGATTTACACGGCACGATTGTCTTGTGTGATTTGTAGTATACGACTTGAATCGCACAGTGTAAATGCCCCTACGACTTGTCTACAACAGTCGTACGCAACCTACGACTTGTAGTAGGATTTTGAACCACTGCTTAAAATCCTACGACTAAATCGTACCGTGTAAATCAGCCTTAATGATTTTGTTAAGCATCAATCAATTCGAAAATCGTCCATCGACCAGGGCTCACACAGTAGTTATACATATTGATCAATGAATATTTACTAACCATTATCCATATTAATATGTGTTTCTTCTGTTGTAATATCTGTACTAACAGAGGCTGATGTTGCAGTATCAGTTTGAGGTACCTCTTGACTTTCAATGCAYTCAGCATCATTTGAATCACCCTGTTGAAATTGTTTTCAAAGCAATGTGAGTTTTTATTTCTAGTTCATAGACAGATAACTGCTGCTTAGCTACATTGACAACAAATTCCATTTCAAAAAGACACTACTGAAGACAAAAGAAAGCATGGGAAATGTCATTTCAAAAGTCCTCCAAAATTCACTTTTACTCCAAATTGAGATTATAAAAGTAACCCTGCATTTCAAAAATGTGTAAGGTCTTTTTTATCTCCACATTGAAGAAACTATGTCACATCTGTAATTGATATCTAATTTGCACTAGAAACTTGAGTACTGAGGAATATCTCTGATAATGATGAGGCCAACTTTCAGTCTCAAGTGGAGAATATTACACTGAAGGAGGATAGGCAGAAGTGGTGATCAAGCATTATTAGCTATGGGTGAAGTAATTGGATTTTCATCTGTTAACCAAGTTCCTTCAAAACTTCATTATTTCACAATTCCTGTCTCTGTTTCACATGTGCAATTCCTTCATGATGCCCTGGCCTTGCTTATGATTAATGTGACACATATATATTTGGATCAAGAGCCAGGAAATCAAGCAGACATCAACTGGTGTTGTTGAGACTACAATTCAGAGTTTTAATTAAAAAAATAGGATACCCATCCACTTAGCAACATCATCTTGGCTACAACTGTATGGTCAAATGCCATCAATAGTTAAATTTATGGAGCGACTTAAGCTTATAAGTTTTATGTTTTTGTTTTGGGGTTGCGGTATACAAAGATGARAATCGTTCAATATCTCACTTTACTTATTTAAATAAAGCTTATAATTCGTGTTTATCAGTGAAAACAGCAAGTGACAGTGATTAAAGCAGTTGATGTGACGTGCAAAAAGAGCTCCATCAAWGTTCTAGGACGAAGCGAACTAACATTAGCAAAAGCTTATAATTTTAGCAATTTTAGCATACAGGTCAAAAAGATTGTACATAAGCGTCAGATACCTCWATCATTTGTATATGATGATCGTTATTATCATCATTTCCATCGTTCATTGAAAGAGGAACATAGCCAGAAATTTCGTTTACAATGTCGCCATCGTCGTCTTCACTACTGCTAGATTCATGGTTGATGTTTGTAACAACATGCTCTTCTTCGGATTCAGAATCACTTGTATTTTGTGGGATATCCTTTGGAGATATCTGAGGCGTCATTATATTGCTATTGTTGTGGAATTTAGACATTTAAGGAAGCGATGTTTTTGAGCATAACAGACTCTACTTGACAAAAACTCTATCACTTTTCATAGATGAGCCTGCGCGCAAACAAGTTAGCGGTTACCTCACTRGGGAGGGGGTAGGGGCCATAATTCGAATAAATGAACAAAATAAATAAAGAATGAAAGCAACTGATTTTCATAAAAARAATTGATAATTAATGCTGATACTGCATGGAAATTGGAGGGGCATTATAAAAAAATCAAAATGATAAATTGTACATATCACTTAACAAACAACAGGCCACTATTTAGAGATCACTGGACTRCCATTGTACAAACATCAAAAGCCTTCTGCTTKTATGAGTAGTTGACAAAAGTTTTTGTCTTATTATTTTTAACTGTATTTTAGCAGAGGAGTGTTCTCTGCCCACTATCACAACAAAACACCTCCAAATAGGCTAAAACCACAGGTAGCCCAAGCTAGGCATTTGTGAACTTTTTAGAAACATTTAATTTATAATAAAAATAAACATCTCTACCTGTGTATTCCGTTTTTCTTTACATTTCTAAGTTTCAGGCCATTTCCTTCAATTTTGAGCAATTTATGGCTGTTGCTCTCCAGGAAATGGCCTGAAACTTCACAGAAATGTAAAGAAAAACACAATACACAGCTAGACTTGTTTATTTTTATTATATTTTTAAATATTTCTAAAAAGTACACAAATGCCTATCTTGGGCTACCTGCGCTAAAACGAGTAATATATGAAAGAGCATGAATTGAATCCTGCAGTAAAACACATCAAACAAACTTCGTAATTTCAAACATTTACTATTATAATAATTATATACTTGTATAACAAAACTTTGTTTCACGAGTTTTATAMATTTAATTTGGCAATAGGCAGGCAATATTCTAATTCATACCTGCACCATACTTAAGGKCATACCTTTGAACCAAAGTGAGACAATCAGTGAGCTTGCAATGATAGACACCTGTCAATGACTAGGTTCTTATAAGATGTATAAGAGGTTTCTATCAATAAATGCTCATTGCTCATCAGGCTTTGATGCTAAGATGCAGAGATTAGGTTTAAAGATAAGCAGAGATGAAGGAGACATTATATTGGAAGATATAAAGTTACCATCGTGCACTCTCTAGTATACAGGTCTGACAATCTCCAATATTCTCTACAACAGCATTATAACAAAAAGCCATCATTGWCCATCATTAGCAATTTCCAATGAAAAGCCACAGTGATATGAATTTTTTCAAATCTGCTTATTATACAGGAAATACAAGTTCTGATTGTATACTAGTATGAGGATAGCCAACCACACTTTACATAGAGACATTATAATAGATCATCTATGAAGATGACTTTGAAGCATCAGGTAACTTTGTGACAGTCTTCCAAAAGACTTCTCACACCCAGACGTCAATCATGTCTCACACATAGAAAATAAGCTTGAAAAATTTATATCTCTACTACTGGTTTATTTAGAGATTCTACTGGAAAGTATAAAATACTTTAGGGTCCATTTTTTCCGGGTTGAAGAGAGAAAGGGCAAAAAAGAAAGTTCTTTCGTTTAACTTGTGAATACTACCAAAATAAGTATATATCATAAGTGTCATTAGCCTCCTTTTGGTACTAATTATTAGTAATATTTGTACGAATATTTTTTTTTGCACCACGCCCTGGGCTTTGTTATAAAGAAAACATAATTTTATATTTACAAAGATTAATTGAAAGGCTAATCGTTAGAATCACCGATACCATCTGCATTAATGGCAAACATTGCCTCTGCCTCAGGCAAACATGGCGAGTCATAAATTTTACAAATTCTTGTTTCCCCTCTTCCTTTTCTGAAGTACAATCTGTAAAAACAAAGAAATGACAAAGTGTTCAAATATCCAAAAATCGAGAAATTTGAGGGTAGACTACAGGAGTGTGGCTAACCAGCATGTGTCCTTTTGTAGTTCAAATACAGTTTGATACTTTAAAAAAACAGCCACCTACATGTATAAAGTGCTTCCAAATTCAATCATGTACTATGTTTGACAGATTATACCAACCTTGTTGTTGAKGCATGGGCCATGATATTTCCACCAATAGGTTTTTTGGGATCAGCTTGAAACATAGAAGCACCATCTACTTGTGCAACCACCTGATTGGTTATTACAATAGCTACACCAAACTGCAACAAAAAAAGATCAAAGCAAGAGTAATTGCAAATCTTGTAATATGACAGTTCTTTGTTTCCCAAATGACAATATCAAAGAGTAATCATGGAAATCAAGATCGTAATGAACAAGTACAAGGACCCAGAATCTGGGTCATCACCATATGTATGCTGTGGGAATTATTTGAACCAATCAACTCTAAGATTCATAGATTCATAAGTCTTAAATAGCCAAAGATTTTTATTTTCCATTGGTAAACTTTAGGAAGGATCTCCGTACAAGAACAAGGTAATGGAGCCAACAGCCAACACTGTAGTAAAACATATGCCAATACAACAAGATTTCACTTGCAATGAATTCATTAACATGCTCGTTTCCATACCTCATCAGCTCGCCGCAGAAGTGTTCTTAGGAATTGCGCCATGTGCATCTGCCGGGCAGAAAGTTCTCCTCTTCCAGAATAGTCTGTRCGGTAAAGAGCTGTTGCACTGTCAACGATGATCAGGGCAAACCTACATGTATGCATCAAAATAAAAAAAATATATATATTGATATTAAAGCAACAATGAAATGTGCTTGTCAAGCAAATATGTTTTGGATGATTTATGGATGTACAGCTGTGTATAATGAAGTCTTATATTATATAATATCCTTTATTTACAATGTAGATGACGACGTTACAGTTATTGTACCATTTGTGTAAAGTAATAAATGCAATCCAATGTGCTAAAATCTAATACTACAATCTCTAATGTATGAGAAGATGAATCATCTCTCCCAGGATGTGCAGGTGTTGTTATGACCGATGCCAATGATGATACAGTGCAAAACAAGGATATTCCATTTGAAAAGCATAGTTACCTTGATTCAGACATAAGTGCTGCTGCTTCAACAAGCAACTCTTGTTGATGATCAGTGCTGTATGCTCTGGCATACACCACATTGTCAAGAACCTCTTGCCCAGATAGACCATACCTGAGGTGTAAATATCACAATAAATAATAATAACAGCCTGATGATTGCACAAACGCATGAAATTGAAGTAGCTCCAACAGTATGCAGCATTCATTGATTCAATAAATTAACCTTGAACAACAAACATTCACAAGCCATGCATTTGGTATCATACCTTTCTGCTACAGCCAGTAATCGCTCTGGTCTAAAGGTACCTTCAGTATCAATGTAAAGACACTTGCCCTCGGCACCGCCATTATCAATGGGAAGCTAGGGTATACATGTTTTGAAATAAAAAAGTTTCAGTTCAGTAAAAAATGATGATTTTTATAATGTGTTGAATTAGTTACAACACCAATTACATTGTACCTGACATGTTACTGCTAAAGTATGACATAATTGTGTTTTTCCAGTRCGAAATTCCCCAAACAGCTCAGTAATACTACCAGTCTCAATACCACCTAAAAACATACCAGAATACTTTTTATATCACTTACACTGTACTGTATAAGCTAAGACTGTTATCTTATTTGTGCGGATTTGCATGACAAAAAATATTTTCCTGTGAGTGATAATGGTGTAAATCCCTGCTTCTGGAGCCTTCACGTCTTGGCCAAATGTTTATTTTTCAGACCATTTCTCATCCTCTGACAATTATCAGCCGATTTCCCAGTGAGCCAAGAAAGGATTTATTTACTAAATACCCATTGGGAGATATATAATTTATGCTTTTATTTGGGATCAATACTAGCTTCTGTAAGTGTGATCCATGCAGTCGAAGCCATAATATACAGCCATATATGTACAAAAATTAAAATTGTCACTTACCTTGCAGTAATTTATCAAGCTCTTTTGATCCAGTTGTTATCATAACAAGTTCAGACCTCCTCATGTGAAACTCTGTAGCTGTTGTAAAACCCATTGGTACAAGTTTGGCAGCTTCTTTAATGATTTTATCAGCCTTCGCATCACTGATGCCCTTAATCTGTAGCAATGCCTTGCGTGCTGAGTAGGCTATACACTCCACCGTGTGATAGCCAGCATCCATTAACTTATTAACATCACTGGCACTGATCCCACTCTCCTGAAATAGTTAAATAGTTTATTTTAAATCATGTGAAGCACTCATTTTTTAGGGCCATGGTCAACTAGCATCCCTTGAGCTTTTGTTTACAGTTTACATTTGAAGGGGGGGGGGGGGGGGGGGGGGAAGGCCAGGAAAAAATTTTGCTAGAAGGCACAAAATTTTTGGATCCCCCCCAAATCTCAGCAGTAATTTTCATATCCCCCTTAACTATCCCCCCCTGTAGTATACATAATATATGCAGCATAATTAATGTATGGAAAATGAAGTCTCAATACAAGCTTAATGAATACTGATAGCTAAACCCATTCCAAAGGTCTCAATCTTACATGTACTGCCTTCAGTAAAAAAAGTTAAAGCCTGATCATCTAATAAGCAATGCTTTTTGTAAGAGGGATTTGATCATCTGTACGACACTACTTTACATCAATAATGTTTTTTGTATGTGTGAGGGTTTATGCAATAAAGTTTTATAAAATACATTGTACTTCTACGCCAATAAGATATTGCTTTACAAAAACGAATTAAGCATAAAACCAATGTATCTGATTATTTACTTCCAGTTTCTTGATACTCATGGGTCCGCCAGCGTCCATTTCAGCCTCTTCTTCCTCTTGTTGACGACCTTGTTGTCGTCTTCGTTCTTGCATCGCCATTTTGTTTTTTTGGCCGTTTCACCAACAAAATACTCAATGAAAGGGCGGCTTTAGGGGGGCAAAACAGATCAAATTTTCAATGACTAGAAGAAGAACAGAATTCTCCTCTAGAATCTCCCAAAGAAGTGTAGAAAAGGCAAATCTATTTGTCTTTGGTAAGCGAATTTCAAATATGCGCGGGAACGAAGATTTGGCGCTTCAAATTCCCGACCGAGGGAGACTAAGAACGATTTCGAAAACACATCGAGCTGGAGGGTCGTTCACGAAGAGATATCGATTGGTGTGAAAGCTAAGGAGACGAGCAGGTTGAAAGCAGGAAAACAGAGAAAAACATCTATGGAAAAGAAAATATATTTCAATTTTTGTGTCATATAAGAGACTCTTATCAGATGTAGCAGATATGGCTGTTATTCTACGTTTTCGRGGGAGTTAACACTTCCCTTGTATTTAAAGTATTCAGTGATGTTCCCCGCCATTTTACTTGATGACTCGTCAATCGWTTTYGTTTGGAAATGCTAAGAACGGCTGATTCAAACATCTCAAGCCCATGGCAAAGTTGTGGAGTCTGTYCYGAGAAGACTTTCTTTCGTTCGCCACATGATTTCAGTGTTCATTTAAGACAATATCATTGTACAAGAGAAGGCGGATCGTTTGTTTGTAGATATGGACGAAATGGAGTTTGTCCTTCTCTCCCAGTTGATGGTGTGAGTGATAAAGACTATGAAGCTCATGTGGAAAAAAATCATATTAGGCTGGGAAAAGGTAAGGCTCCAAGCTCACTAAAAATTTAGTTKGCTTTAAGTAACTTCCTAACCAATAAAGCCAACTAAATTAACTTAAGCTTAAGGCTAAAGACTTTTGATAGTTTCTGAAATCGTGATTTTTTTTGGTCTTTTCCTATAGACTCGTTATAAAATTTTATTGAGTTAACTTATGTGGTTTGCATATCATGGTCTTTCCTGGTAACTAAACCCTTTTTCT